TCCTGCCTTGAGGGCGGGGGGCTGGACTCGATGACCTCTCGAGGTCCCTTCCAGTCCTATTATTCTATGATTCTATGATTAATAAACCTTGAGGGCGGGGGGCTGGACTCGATGACCTCTCGAGGTCCCTTCCAGTCCTATTATTCTATGATTCTATGATTCTATGAAGCTCCTGGACCCGCAGGACAGCTGTGCGTGCCATGCTGGAGCCCGCGGACTGTGTGCCATGCTAGGGCTCCGGGACCCAATGGGCATCCCCGTACTGGGTCTCCCAACCCTGATGGGCAGCCCCGCCATCAGCTTGCTGTAACAAGCCCTCTGCACTGCTGGCCCTGCAGGTATCCTTGCCCCTAGCCCTCCACCAGGACTCTCTGGTCCTGCAACATCTGTGCCAGACCATGGATGTTTCTGGATCAGAGAATCCCAGTTAAGAGAGTTTGAACCTGTAGTGAGGGCAAACAGCTGAGAAATAGAAGAATACAGGGCTCTAATGATTGTCTCAGTTGAGTCACTGAATAGAAGGAAGATCTGGGTTCTTTTGTTCTTCTTGCCATTAATCTTTGGTGTCTATTGGCAATTTAAAAAATAAGGAGTTGTCTTTTTCATTTGAGCTAGTGATTCAAAACGCTTGCAAGTAATGAAAATCAAAATTTGTCACAGCGTGCAACTCCTGAGCAGAACTTTGCTCTTTTACATCAGTGGAAGTCCACAGTGTTTCTGTACTGGTCAGTGCAACTGTGAAACTAAATAGGAAGGGTCTAGGCTTGCAATTGTCTGGACATATTCCTGGAGATTTAATCACGACAGTCTTTAATTAAAGATTAATCTTTAATTCCTGAAGGAATGGCAAATCTAAATGGGTCTGAATATTTGTTTTAACTAAAATGAGACAAACTCAATAAAGCTGTGTACTAAACCTTAGCAAACCTTTATTTTACATGTGCTACTTCTCAATGAATGTCAGTACTATGAGTTAGGAGTGATCATACAGAGCAGCAGATAAGGGACCTACCATTACCAGATCCTCAAAACACTAGGGCTATGTCTACACTGCCCCCTCTTCCGTAAAAAAAAAAGCAAATGAGGCAAAGCATGGAGTATCACCGTGCTTCATTTGCATAATTAATGAGGCTCTGTTTTTGCACAAGAGGCTTTTGCACCATCTACACAGCTCCTTTTTGCTCAAAATCCCCCTCTTGCACAAGAGCCGTTCTTCCTCTTTTTTTTTTTTTTTTTTCAGGAAAAATGGCTCTTGCGCAAGAGGGGTTTTTTGTGCAAAAATGGAGCCTCATTAATTATGCAGATAAGGTGCAGTGATATTCCATGCTTCACCTCATTTGCATTTTTTGTGCAAGAGGGGGCAGTGTAGACATAGCTCATGTGTATTGCACTAAGCAATGATGAGTCATAAAAGGAAGGGATGCACACCATATCTTTTTCATTGAAAACAAATGGGGATTGCTAGCAGCTTTGAACTAGTTTTCTGAAATAGAATTTAGTAAAATGCATTTGTTTGAATTCTCTCAACAATGAAATATAACTTTCAGTTTATAGAAGTGGGTTCATCACATGCTTTGATGCCTATTCCCTCCTTTATTCCATTATTTTCAAGTAAATAAATGTCATTTATCTTTAGGAGAGGCATAACTTTGACATTCATCACTTCTTTTAGATAAAGCCATTTATTTAAGGACAAAGATTACCAGTGCTTGGCATTGTGATGTCACCAGAGATTCAGTGATACCTTTGTTTATTATTTTTAAATTGCCTCTTGTAAAATCATCTTACAAAAGCCAGAAGTTGAGAAATGTGGAACTTTACAAAAGTATGAATTACTTGCAAAGCTCACACTTGAAAGGAAAAACCTATGGAATAAAATTAGTATTCATAAACATGAATTTCCCACTGTAGGATGCTGATTCATGCTCGAGGGAAGAGATGAAAAGATTGGAAAACAATGAAGAAACTTTTCTTAAATTAAATACTTAGGCAATTTATGAGATAGGGTTTCCACCATTCCATTTTGAGGGATTGTTTAAAATTGTAAAGCAATAGATCTTTCTGAAATCCTCTTTGAGGGTACCCATTGTATGTTCTTAAACCTCCTATGGCATTTTTATGTTGGTCTCCATGTAATGTGAAAACACTCAAACTGCATCTGATTAATACCAAAATGTGAGACCCAGTTCTAGGCATCAGTGATCAGAACCCAATTGATTTGGATGGCGACTGGAAGACACAAAAGCTTGACTTCCACAGAAATCACCAGATGGTCACTCAGGATACAGGGCTGAGGCAGTGACCTCAGGATGAAGTTTACTGGCTTCCCTTAGCCAGGTCCCTTGCTGCTCCAATCAAGCGAGCGAAAATCCAATTTTTGTGTTGTCACCAAAATCAACAGGGTTCTGGCCAGGGTAGGAGTGCAGGTACTGGCAATAAGGGACCAGTTAGGCCTACATAAACGTGGTGTGTGACCCTTCAGCTGGCCAACCAATTCAAGTCCTATACTCAATTTGATCGTTTGTTTAAAATCTATGGCAAAGCTCCCAGTGACTCTAATGATTTAGCAGGGGGTTCTGCATTAGAGACCTATATACACCAGAGGCAGCAGAGGTATGGTGGAGTTAGAAAAAAGAGAGGCCAACCTGACACTGAATGTGAGGGAAGGGAGGAAGAAACCCCAAATCTGGAAGTTTAGGGGGAAAGACATCTTGGCATGTACAGGATGAGAACAGGGAGAGACCCTCTAGATTGAGAGGATGGGGGTAGACAAGGAGAAACTATCAGCAGATTAACAATTGCTCAAATGCAAATTAATTTTGTGTTTAATACTCTGAACCTATCCCTTCTGCTCCTGCCTGTGTTGGCAACCCAGTGTGGAAAAGTTGGGTAAGAAAGTGTAGTAGATTTGCTTGGACAAGTATAACTTGCTCAACTTGCACTTTATTAAACAACCTTCCCACCCTACCCAACCCAGCCCACAAGAAATAAGTACCAGATACATCAGGTGAGGTACAGTAATGAACTCCTTTGCTCAACTGGTAGGATCACAAGTAGTGAATGCTGCTACTCTAGGAAGGGAGAGGAAATGAGGTTGTGTAAATAATTGATTGGATTAGATTACAAGAAAATACATCTTTGGTGCTCCTATCTGTTACACACAGGAGGTGGCTGTAAAGATTGTATTTAAATAATTGGCTTGCCTTGAAACTTTCACTTGCTTCTTTTAAGCTCTGAAAAGTCTGAAGAGGAAATCAAAATATTGCAGAAGAACTGCAAGACTGAGAACTGCTGTTTAAGGAAGTGTCAACAACTACCAGTGCAAATTTCAAACAGGACTCCCCCTTTACTGAGTAACAGCCACTCACAGATATTAAATTGTTAAGGGGAGTTCCAGGTTTGCATTTGAACCATGGCAATTTTACAGATATCCTTTTTCAGCAGTGAGGTTGGTTAAAAGACACAAAACACTTTGTTTTGTATGACTCTCAGGGTATGTCTAGACTATATCCCTCTTTCGAAAGAGGGATGTAAATTAGACAGATCGAAATTGCAAATGAAGCTGGGATTTGAATTTCCCATGCTTCATTTGCATAATGGTGGCTGCACGTTCTTTCGAAAAAGGGCTTTTCGAAAGTGAAACCACCATCTAGATGCAGTTCTTTCGGGGAAAAAAACTCCTTTTTCGAAAGATCCTGTACTCCTCAGGATCTTTCAAAAGAGGAGTACAGGATCTTTCAAAAAAGGGTTTTTTTTCCGAAAGAACCGTGTCTAGACAGCGGCTTCACTTTTGAAAAGCCTTTTTTCGAAAATGCGCGGCCGCCATTATGCAAATAAAGTTAAAATCCCGGCTTCATTTGCAATTTCGATCTGTCTAATTTACATCCCTCTTTTGACAGATGTAGTCTAGACAGATGCCTTTAGGGTACGTCTAGACTGCAAGCTTCTTTTGAAAGAGAGAACGCATTGAAAAAGCAATCCACACTCATTGGACGCTCTCTCACATAAAAGGCCACCTGGAACCACTTCTGGCAGGGAATTAGCTCAGCAGTTACTTCTGGGTGCTGTTGCTGTTGACTAAGGCTATCTGAGACGCGCGCTTAAAGGGACCCCCTCTGGACAGCCGTTTCTCAGCTTCTGCTGCTTGCTTGTCTACCTCTCTGAGGAACAGCAAAGCTTTAGCAGTGTGTGTTCTGGTTGCCTAGCTTTGTTGGACGCCACAGCATTAGTTTGTTTTTTGCTATGGAGCCAGAGCTGCCCCTGGGCATGCGATGGCCTCACACTGTCATGCTGCAAGTTATGCAGCAGTTTCAGCAGACGGTCTTGACAGTACTGTCCCAGGTCGACTCCAAGCTTATCTGTGAGTCCCTCTGCCTGGATGCAGAAGCAATGCCCATGCCCCCACACCTCATGGTCGAGAGACGATTTTGGAGGCTGGACACCAGTTCCAACTGGTGGAACCAGCTGGTCATGGAGCAGTGGGATGACCAACAGTAGCTTAACAACTTCCACATGTGGAAGGCCACCTTCTTGGACCTGGCTTACCCCTGCCCTCCGGAGACGTGACACCCATCTGCGACCCGACATCCCCCTGCAGAAGCGGGTTGCTATTGCCATATAGAAGCTCGTCACCCCCGACAGCTATTGGTTGGTGGGCCACCAGTTCATCGTGGGGAAGTCCACCATCAGGGTGGTCCTTATGGAGGTGAGGCACTCTTGGTGTATAGTCCCTGCACAGTGGGGAGAGGAGAGGAGAGTCCTGGAAAAGGGGGACCCTTGGGAAAGGCTTGTGTGTGGGGGGTGAAGTGGGGTGGGGGGAAGGCCCATCCCCAGAGGGGGTGCTGTCCTTTCCTCACACAGCCCTGCTGCTGGGTGGGCGGCCTTGTAGGGGATGGCTCGTGGGGTGTTTGAGAGGGGGAGATAGGGGATGGGCACCTCCCAAGGGCTCAGGCATCCCCTCTCATTCTATATTTTGTGTATTTCGTTGTCTCCTTCTGCAGGTTGAGGGTCATCAACTCTGTTATGCTGTGCAGGGTCATCCGCCTGGGAGCCCTGGACCCCATCAGGGCCGGATTTGCTGCCCTGGGCTTTCCTCACTGCGGAGGAGCGACTGATGGGGGCCCACATTCCGATCCGCGCACCATAGCATCGAGCCACCCAGTACATGAACAGAAAGGGCGATTTCTCCTTGTTGCTACAGGCCCTGGTCGAACACCGGGGGACAGTTTTTGGATATTTTTGTTGGGTGGTTGGGCTGGACACACAATGCCCACATATTCAGGAACTCTAGCCTCTACCAGAAGCTGGAGGCTAGCATATTCTTCCCTCGGTGGACTTTCGCGTGGGGGACATAGAGATGCCACTCTGCATCATTGGGGATGCACCCCGCTCACTAATGCCATGGCTCATGAAGCCCTACACTGGCCACCTGGACCCCACCAGAGAACAATTCAATGTGCATCTCAACCGGACCCGCATGCAGTTGGCGTGCGCCTTTGGCAGCCTCAAGGCGAAGTTCAGGTGCCTCCTGACTCGCCTCGACGTGGGGGAGCACAACATCCCCAAGGTGGCCACAGCATGTTGTATTCTCCACAATATAGTGGAGAGCAAGGGGGAGGCTGTCCTCCCAGGGTGGGGGACAAAGGCTGGCTGTGAGGGAAGGGCATTCGACCAGCTGTGCACAGCTGCCATTCGCCAGGCCCATCAGGCCGGTGTGCGCATCCAGAAGGCCCAGGGGGAGAGGTTCTCTGAAGGACCCCAGTAACTCTCCACAGGGCCTCCCCACTGCAGGCTTGTGCCTTGCCCCCCCTACAGCTTTCCCCTACAATCCTTCCCTTCCCCCCTTCCCTGTATAATTAATAAAGACACGAGGTGTGAGTTGAACACAAACTTTGTATATTGTTTTTTAATATAAAAGTAACTGGGGTGGAGGGAGGCTGAGAACCTGGATGGGGGAGGGAGGAGAGAGGCTTAGGGCTGTGAGTGGTGCATGGTGTGGCTGGAAGTGCCACATCGGGTCTGGGGACCTCGACGAACTCAGGGTTGTGGGGGGCTTGGGACAACAGCAAGGTGTGCAGAAGGAGGGCTGGAGCAGGGTCGGGTCTGGCAGGGGGGCAGAGGGAGGGGGCATGGGCATGACAGGGGGAGGAGGGGTGGCAGGCTCATGGGTATGGGGAGCAGGAGTGGGGACCGGAGCCGGGTGTGCACTTCCCAGATGGTGGCATACATGTTTTCGCCTTGCCACACAAGCTGGTCTCACATACGATTATGCCAATAGGCGTCATTGTGGACTTTTTCTGGATCTGCTGCATGTCACACAGGATGGCTACGTGCTCCCGTATGAAGTCCTCATTCACCCTCCAGTGCTTGCAGCTCCCCTAGGTTTGGTTGGCTGTCTCTGATGGCGTGGATCGCCCCTCAGCAATGGCTGGTCCAGCTGTGGAGGAGAAGAGAGAGAGACGGTCAGTCATCCATCCAACCAGACATTGTCCATGAGGCCGTGCCCTCCTCAGTGAGTAAGGCCTGTGAGCAAGGCCATACGTGGCCTGCACAGCAGGCCCTGCCTCAAGGCTCCCATGGGACCATATTGCCCACCCACCCCATCCCCCAGACAAGCAGGCCATGGAAGTATCTGGCCACAGTGGGATCCCATGGGTGGGACAGGGGCCTGGAGCAGCCTGACTCTCCTTAGGGCCTACACACACACCTGCATCTGGCAGTGCTGCCTGTGGGAGCGGGTGGTGACTCGTGCATGCAGGCATGGCCGTGTGCTATGTGTGACACTCCTCCGTCTGTGTGGGGTTGTGCGTGTGCCCTTGTGCCCAGCCTGCTTCCGGCAGTGGCTGGTGGGGGGAGGACATCCCTCCCAGGGGTCGGACGTGTGTGGGGCCTCCCCTCAGCCTGTGAGCAGCAGCCTGTGTGTGCTCCAGGGCTGGCTCCTGAGACCACGTGGTGCACACTGCTGCTGCACATGCTTGCACATGCACGGACAGCAGCACACTGTACAGACTGAGCATGCCAAGCGGCTATCACACCCCATCCCCTCTGAGCCCACCTCCCCTGCCCTGTGTGTGTGACAAACTGAGAACACCCACTTGATGATCCCTCTCTGGCATCAGATGATGCCTGGGATATGTCCAGAGCCTGGGGTACCAGCTCCAGCATGAGGGTGACCACGCTACCAGTGTCGTTGTCGTTCTCCTGCAGCTGCTGTTGGTCATCGTCGTCCTCCTCCTCCAGAAACTCTGACCGGGCAACCATGGGTGTCTCCAACCCCAAATCCACCAGTATGGGTGGAGAAAAGACTTCCCCACCCCCCAGGATCTGGAGCAGCTCTGTATAGTATGGGCAGGAGTGGGGTCGTGCCCCAGAGTGAGAGCTGTGCTCCCTGGTCCGGGGATACCCTTGCTGGAGCTCCTTGACCTTGCTCCGTACTTGGTCAAGGGTATGAGGGTGGTGTCCCTTCTGGGTCAGAGCTTTGGCCATGTGCCTATAAATGTCTGAATTTCTACACTTGGAGCAGAGATCCTTCAAGGTCTGCTCTTCCCCCCACAGCTCTAGGAGGCACAGGATCTCTGGCCCGGTTTAGGAAGGTGCCCGGCATTTGGTGCCCTTGGGTGGGTCCTCTGAGCCTTGGTGCTGCTCCCTGTGCAAGCCAGGTGGGTCTCGGGGGGGCTTGTGGCTCTGCCATGTGTCAGCAGGCCTTTGGCAGTCAGAGCTGAGTGGGCAAGGTCCTGCTGCAAGGCTGGCTTCCTGCTACAAGACTAGTCCAGGGTACCCACAGCTCTAAGAGCTGCCAGGACACGGGAACTAGAGAGCTGTTATTAGTGTGGATGGAGTGGCCACTAGGGCACCTGTGCTTTTTCCTGGAGGCCTCTTCTTTTGAAAAAACTCCCTCTTCCATGTCCACACATGCCTTTTTCTGAAAGAGCGCTCTTGGAAAAGGTTTTCTTTCTCATAGAATGATGCTTACCAATGTCGGAAAAATCCCTGCATTCTTTCGATTTTATATGAAAGAATGCAATTGTAGTGTGGATGTAAGTGAAGTTTTTTCGGAAAACGTTTTTCCAAAAAAAACACCTGCCGTCTAGATGCACCTTTGAGATGCTTGTGGTTTGTCCCAAGAAACTGGCAGATTGGGATTGTCTCCCCCTTCATGGCATGATCCTGCACTTTTAAAGTCAATGGGAAGATGAATCATTTTTAACAAGTTATGTGTTATTAAACAAGCCTTGAATTAAATGTCAGAGTATTTACGATCTGTATTACTTATATGGAAACTTGAAATGTGTGTGCTTTCTTCAAATAGAAGTCCTCAATGATCTTAGATATTCTAAACTATGTTCTTGATCCAGATACACACTAAAGAAAATGCATAACTTTAAGCACATGATGTCAAGTACAGGCAGTCCCCCGGTTACGTACAAGATAGGGACTGTAGGTTTGTTCTTAAGTTGAATTTGTTTGTAAGTTGGAACTGGTACATATTGTACCCCAGGTGTCCCCGATTCAGCCGCTGCTGAAACTGACCAGCGGCTGACTACAGGAAGCCCCGGGCAGAGCAGCTCTGCCTCGGGCTTCCTGGAATCAGCCTCTGATCAGTTTCAGCAGCAGCTGACTTGGGGGTGCCCCGGGGGTTTAATGTTGTTTCTATTTTAAAAAGTTATAAAGGTAATAATGTCACTCTAATGCTTTAAAAATTAATCACTGCTTTTTTGAAATTCACACACAAAAATAGATTAATAAAATCCTCATAAATGTCTGATGCTACTCAATAAAAGCCAGGAAATTAAGACTGACAATCACCCCTTTTAGACTTACTTACTAAAACTGTCATTTTAAAAATATTGAGGACCACATATAGATGTGAGATCCCTGTAACCTAACAGTACAGGCAGTCCCCAGGTTACATGGATCCAACTTACATCGGATCCCTACTTACAAACGGGGTGAGGCAACCCCGCACTAACTGCGCCCCCCTCCCCCAGCAGACCACTGAGACGCACCGCGGTTCCGCCGCCCGCGTCCTCCGCGGCGAGAAAAGCCGCTCCGCGTCTCCCTGGTCTGCTGGGGGGAAGTGCCCCCCGCACCGCCGGAGGCGGTGACAGTGGGGGAGGCACCCCACACTAGCTGCGCCCTCTCCCCCGTTCGTAACTAGGGGTCCGACTTAAGTCGGATTGACATAACCCGGGGATTGCCTGTATCAGAGGGTTCCGCCGCCCGCGTCCTCCGCGGCGAGAAAAGCCGCTCCGCGTCTCCCTGGTCTGCTGGGGGGAAGTGCCCCCCGCACCGCCGGAGGCGGTGACAGTGGGGGAGGCACCCCACACTAGCTGCGCCCTCTCCCCCGTTCGTAACTAGGGGTCCGACTTAAGTCGGATTGACATAACCCGGGGATTGCCTGTATCAGAGGGGTAGCCATGTTAGTCTGAATCTGCAAAAGCGATGAGGAGTCCTGTGGCATATTAGGGTATGTCTACACTTGCACCTTCTTTGAAGAGAGGGATGCAAATGCAGCTAAGCGAAATTGCAAATGAAGTGCGGTTTTGAATTTCTCATGCTTCATTTGCATATTTGCGTTATGGCGCTATTTCGAAATAGCACTATTTCGAAAAAAGAAATGCGGTCTAGATGCAGTTGTTTTGAAAGAAAACCCTTTTTCTGAAATAACCCTTATTCCTCCTACAACTAGGTTTACCTTTTATTTCGGAAGAAGGGTTTTCTTTCAAAACAACTGCATCTAGACCGCATTTCTTTTTTCGAAATAGTGCTATTTCGAAATAGCGCCATAACGCAAATATGCAAATGAAGCATGAGAAATTCAAAACCGCACTTCATTTGCAATTTCGCTCAGTTGCATTTGCATCCCTCTCTCGAAAGAGGGTGCAAGTGTAGACATACCCTTATAGACTAACAGATTTATTGGAGCATAAGCTTTCATGGGCAAAGATCCACTTCGTCTTTTTGCGGGTCTTTGCCCACGAAAGCGTATGCTCTAATAAATCTGTTCGTCTATAAGGTGCCACAGGACTCCTCGTTGTTTAAGCATGAGTAGTTCAGCTGAATTTAAACATGTACATAGGCCCAAATCCAGCCAGGCACTTATCTGTCAGCAAATAAATGACAGGTAAAGAATTACTGTGGGTATGTCTACACTGCACCTGGAGTTTGAAATAAGCTACACAATTTGAGCTATACAAATTGTGTAGCTTATTTCGAGTTAGTTTTGAAATAGCTTATTTCAAAATTTGGCACTGTATACACAACACTTATTTCAAAATAAATCATTATTCCAAAACATCCCTTACTCCTTGTGGAATGAGGTTTATAGGGGTGTTGGAATAGTGAGCCTGTTATATTTCAAAATAACAGGCGCAGTCAGACACAGAATAGCTATTTCAAGACACCTCTGGTATCCCAAAATAGTGCTTCAGTGTTGACATAGCCCATGTCATAATATTTTAACAGACATTAGTTAAGAGTCTCTAGACTAGGGGTTTCAGATGGGCCTAAGGAAGTTAGGCGCTCAGCTCCAGTTTAACTATTACCTCCCTTAGGATCTTTTCAAAATACCATCTCGTTTTCTGAGGCACAATATGAATGAAACTGGCAACTCCCGTTTTTAATCTGTATTAGGGTGAAATCCTGGCCCCCTGAAAGGAGTGTCAAATATACTTTGGACTTCAGTGAGATTAATAGTTCACCTTGGATGTCTATTTAGCATGTTTCAGGTCTGAGTTGGAAGACTGTAGGTATGTTTGCATCTCCGCTGATACCATGAGTGACTGATGACTGAGTATCATATAGAATTCTTAGCTTCCACTTCAAAGTCTGGTCTCCCCTCAGCTCCACTGGCCAGGTCAGGGTCAACTGCTCCATTAG